CTACGGAGGATTGCGGTCAACTCTCAAGTCCCCTCTGGTTTTACCTTTTGCACGCGGTCACGAAGACAGTAGCAGTCCGCGTGTATGCGTTTTGTATGGGTAATCTACTGGTAACGAGTGAAATTAGGAAATAATTTCACGTGCGTTTTGTCAATATTCTTAAGGCTCGAGAAATTATTAGAATTTTGACAATATGCAAGTCAAATCATTTCTTAATTTTAAGCGTGTACCATCTGATTACCTTTCAATATCACGGGTGACAAATTACCATCAAAATCGTGGGTTTTTGGCTGGTTTATTGTAATGAGAAATTTCGCGCCAAACGTTAAACGTTGCCATGGCAATTGTATAATTTCACATGTGAAACCATACATTATTACCGCTGACATATCGGGCCAAAATTAAGATGTAATTTGTACGACGTCACCCATGATATTCACCGAGCAATAATCCTGACTTTGCTTGGATATTTGATTAAATTTTTTTGATTCACAGCTTTGCAAAGCGCCCGTTGTCATTCCATTCATGTATTACCGATTTGGATCATGGTCTCTAGAAGTGGCAAAACCTGCGATTTTGTTTCCAAGTTTAATTTCGTCGCGGGTATAGAAATTCCGGGATCGATTCAAAAAGGAGGTAAGCTTGGTGTAGCTCTATTATATCCCAACAAAAGCGAAATTTTAAAACCGACTTTCAGTAAAAAGAAGATTGAACGTCTCTGGTTTTTGACCTAGCTACCATCGTGTTGTTTGATTTATCCTCTCTTACTACCCGACAATAAGATACAGACGATGGAATCTAAGTGCAGTCGTTTTTTATTATTGAAAATCTGTCACACTTTAGAAGCGCTCAGGATAATTTTACACATTTGCAAACTTTCAAACCATCCGAGTACCATCTTCCTTGTACACCTTGATTCGAATCCAAACTGCTAATCCAAACTGCTAATCCAATGTGACAGCACACCATGAGCATGACCTAATATGATTAAAACGAATGTGCATTAGCATATTTACTATCTCTTATAAGATGCGTTGTTTATGAGTCAGGGCACTTAAAATTTAGTACAGGCAAAGTCCATGGATGAGGTCAGTAAGCAAGGGCGACGTGACTGTAACGTTAACCAATACCTTGATTATTCTAGGTACCACAAAACCTTATTCAATAAATGTCCCTTATTACGCGACCAAGTAAGTTCAGAAGGCCAATATCTAACTGCCCTACTGCCGGTCCAATATTCTCTAAGTATTGGACCGGGCACTGTCCCGAATGATCTCGCGAGATCACTTTTGAAGATTTTCGGGTAGTTTTAGTCGTGAAACAAATCTCTCCCAAACTTGCTTGGGACCGTTTCCGGCCGGAGAGTGTCTCGGTCTTTTCTATACGGACCTCGCTGCACTCGGTCCCTACCGTCAAGACCTCGGACCCTTAAGACTGAACCGTATTTTCTGCGTAAACATTATCCACAAGTGACTTAATGGATAGAATGATCTGTAGCTCACATAGTGGAGACTGATACATAAAGGTATCATGATTGTGAAATTTTGACAAGCGCAACCTAATAAGCGGAACTAGGACATTATTTCAACCAATGAAAGGTTCGGCGCCGATTAATACTACATTACTTTCATACTACATCAAATACAATACTAAATACTACATTACTACATTACTACATCCGTTATTGTGAGTAATGTAGTGTTGTAAAACGAATTGTAAGTAATGTTTGTATTGTAATAAAAATTAAGTTAATAACTATAAGTTTAACTATAAGTAACAGTAACAAGTATGTCGCACCATTGTCACGGTATTGCGAGCAGTATTAATGTTCAGCGGCATTGCTATTAATGTCATGTCGTGCGGAAACCATAAAGTGGTGGAGGTTTTATTTGTTATATTGCACACTGATATTACCTTGTTCGCATCAATTCTTCCTGTTCCTCCTTAGATAAGGAAGCTTGAAGGTTTTGATAAATTCTTGATCAGCTATAGAACATTTCCACAATAATAATTATAAGTTGGAAACAATAATTAAAATATTAGTGTTTAAAATGAAAGATTATTTCGAAGGATTCCGGGAACAAATTATTTAAATATCTCTGCTTGCCGTGAGGTAACAAAATTAACGCGTTCATTTAAAGGAGCTCTATCACGGCGTTTTGAGTTCTGGCCGCGTACAGATTTACTCTTAAATTGAAGAAAACCTGAAAATAGTAGTTTACTAAGATAGAAAAACACTAACGAGTTAATAACAAACCATAAAGGAACATGGATGGTTAAGGATGGAGAAGATTAACACGGATTACAAAGGACGAACTTGAAAAACTTAGGGTAAACTTTTTAAGATGCGCAAACAGTGACATAACTCCTTTAGTGTGCATCATCCAGTTATGATGTACGTGATGCATTTAATTTGGAAAACACGACAGAAGCGTAAGAGTTAAGAGCCAGGAGCAGATGTAGCTTCTTGAGTACTCTCCTAACTCCTCAAGTGCATCAAAAGTAGGTGACCTGTACAGCTAAAATCAGCAATCAATTGTTTTAACATTGCTTATGGAGATAACGTAGGACGATGCCCACCGCGTGAAAAATAAATTTTCGCGGTGAGGGGAAGTTAACTTTGTTCATCTTATAAACGTGTACATCATTGTTGCATGGGTTATGATTCACGGTCATGCGTAAACTGAGTTTTATGGCGCAGCTTTGTTGATGCTACAAAGACGCTTGAAGTATACCACAAAATGAGAAATCAAAGAATTGCTTCGCTTTGTTCTGCTGGGTTGGAGGTAACCAGGCCTTTTCTAGATCTTAGAGATCTTATCCTCGGTTGATATAAGTTCCATAGGCATCACCCGATATGCATTCAAGGGCCCGTCCATACTAAGTCGGAGGAATTTGAAAAAGCAGCTTTATTTCTACGGTTAGGTCTATCGTTCGTTCTAATCCGTCACGAAAACGGAGCTTTTCGAAAGCGCTCTTCAAACCGGAGGAATTTGAAACAACGGCCTTGCGTTTTAGTGTGAATGGAAAACATTTTGAAAACGGAGCTTTTCGAAAACGATGAGATCACGAGAATAATGTGATTTCCCTGACGGATTTTCCTCAAACACGAATTGTTGCGTTTTCAAATTCCTCCGGCCTGGCGTAGACGGGGCCTCAGTTGAATGCTCACCTTCTGGACAGGGCCTGTCATTACAAGGCCTGGTTTCCTGCAGGGGGCCATCACAGTCTTTTCCATACCCCTGGGGAGGAGGATTAGTACAGGTTCTGTTTCTCAATTGAACTCCATCACCACAGGTCAGACTGCAGTCAGACCAGAAACCCCAGCGAGAAAAGTTGCCATCCACACCTGAAAATCAAGAGTATTCTTGAGATAAGCGTGTAAATGATTACAGAAGCTCACTGTCCAAGGATAATAAAGAAAATGACCTCGTTCTTTTATGAGATAGGCTCTTAGTACTATTACGTGTTGAATAGTTAACTTGACTTCCGCCTGAAAGCGAATACTGAGTTTCAAATCAACTCGGAAAAGGTGAAAACAAATTTTTACCCCGATCGTAGTTCAACGGGGTAGGGGTGGGGGTGGTGGTTGGTGTAACACGTTCGGTTTGGTCTACTATCAGGAGACGTACAAACGGCTCTTCAGGAGTCAATCGAAAGTGCTTTTAATCAAGTCTCTTACTTTCGTGATCTTACACGTTCAGTGAGCTATCGAGAGTATTGAATATAAAAGTGATGCCAGTCATACTATGATCAAATGTCACGTGAATCGTATCAATGTCAATAAATAATCTATTGTGTCCATATTGTAACAGTTGGAGCGGCTGGACCCTCCTTGGGTTGAATTTCTCTCTAATTAGACAGACCACAATCATTTTGAATTTAGTAGCCAGTTGTTGGCTTGTGGTTATGACATTATATGATGGCAAATGATGTCATTAAATCTACCATTTTGGATCCGTCATTTGGATTTTATTATTTTCTCAAGGAAGTCGGAAAATAACATAAATTGATGATAAGTTAGTCCAAACAGACAGAATACAAAAGAGTACTAATTCTGCAAAGCTGCTCGAGACAACTTACAACNGGATTAGTACAGGTTCTGTTTCTCAATTGAACTCCATCACCACAGGTCAGACTGCAGTCAGACCAGAAACCCCAGCGAGAAAAGTTGCCATCCACACCTGAAAATCAAGAGTATTCTTGAGATAAGCGTGTAAATGATTACAGAAGCTCACTGTCCAAGGATAATAAAGAAAATGACCTCGTTCTTTTATGAGATAGGCTCTTAGTACTATTACGTGTTGAATAGTTAACTTGACTTTCGTCTGAAAGCGAATACTGAGTTTCAAATCAACTCGGAAAAGATGAAAACAAATTTTTACCCCGATCGTAGTTCAACGGGATGGGAGTAGGGGTGGTGGTTAGGGCGGCTGGACCCTTCTTGGGTCGAATTTCTCTCTAATTAGACAGACCACAATTATTTTGAATTTAGTAGCCAGTTCTTGGCTTATGGTTATGACATTATATGATGGCAAATGATGTCATTAAATCTGCCATTTTGGATCCGTCATTTGGACTTCATTATTTTCTCAAGGAAGTCGGAAAATAACATAAATTGATGATAAGTTAGTCCAAACAGACAAAATACAAAAGAGTACTAATTCTGCAAAGCTGCTCGAGACAACTTACAACTGGAAAAATAGTTATTAAGATGAAGAATTCTGTTAAAATAAGACAAAATTACGATTCATCTGCGGTTACAGAAGTAGTTGTGAGTGTTATTTGCCGGCCAGGGGTCCGTATTCAGTGGAAAATTCTCGTACTCAAAACCTCTGGCACAGCTTTTTCCGGACCGACCAAGGACGGCAAATATCGCGTTTATTTCATTCTCAATGGTATTGCTTTGAAAGTAACTTTGTGTCGAATTTCAATCAAAGCCAATCAGATTCAAAGATTTAGGATTGTGGACCGCTGAGAAGCTGAAGAAAAAAAAAAAAAATAAAACAAGAAATCCAACTTTCCACAGGGGATTAATGAATTAATGAACAACTATACCAATGCGCTTAGCATCATAGGTTTAAAAGTTGCGAAATAAACTCCTTGCACGTCCAAGGGTGTAGCTTCAGTTCACTTACTGCAAGTTTCAGCCAGAATGTCATCAAACAAATCTGACAGCTCATCATAGTTGCTGGAGCTGTAAGCATTTTTTCCTGCAATTTCCTCCAGTTGGCCTTGAAAGTTCTCATACCGGCCAATCCCAACCGCCACAAGGTGAACATTTTTGGCCTTTGGACGGGAAAAAGTCAAGGAAAGAAAAAAGATAACTCAAATCCTTTCGTGTTTGAGATAATAACAATAATAATAATAATAATCAACGGGGTCCTGCCGACTAAGAATTAAAAACTAATAAATAAGAATTATAAAGATATATAAAATGAGATACATATTAAGGCATTATTACACTATTACATAAATATAATAAATATAATTCTGACCCATATATATTATTACATACGGGTCAGCAGATTAAAAATATAAAACCAACAGTGGTGATAAACATTTTAAAAACATGCATTTTATTTTATTTATTTTATTTTAAGCATTTTAATGCCAATGTCAGCAGTGAAAAGCTTTTACTTTATTAAGAGAGCTTTTCCATTGTGTCACTTTACAGACAGTTTCCGTTTGAAACGTCTTAAATTTCTACTGCAGATGTGGACGTTTTCTGTCTAGGCTCTAGACCCCCATAGCGTGCGAATGCAGACGTATTTCCGGCTGTCGCTTGTTTCCGCCGAAAATAACGTCTGCGAACCCGAGCCAGGAAACGATATCTGTGACGTAGGAATTTTAGGCCAATCACAATTTAGCTCAAGTAGCCCCAGAACTACTGCGCGAGGTATTCGCTGCGAGGAGCACTGGAGTTTCATTCTATCATGGAATCTGATTGGCCAAGGAGAAACAAAAGTCATTACGTCACGGAAATCGTGTCCTGGCTCGGGTTCGCAGACGTTATTTTCGGCGGAGACAGCCGGAAATACGTCTGCGTTTGCAAGCTAAGACCCCTATTGATACAGTATAAATAACTTTCCAATAATGTTAACGGTTATACTTTTGAAAATGTACGTTGACTAGCATACGAAACGTCAAGTTCGTAAAATGCATGTTTTTAAAATGTTTATCACCGCTGTTTGTTTTATATTTTTAATCAAGCTACGATGGCCGAAGACCAAGAGTTTATATTGGTCAGCAGAGTTACACAATAAAGGTTGAAGCATAACAAAGTGTCATGACACGTAGTACCAATATACACATAATCCATCAAACAAATTGAAATCTCAATGATAGCAAAATAAGTTGACACGATGACACGAAAAGTCATCAGACTTACTCCCTTCCCAGCTAATGTCACCGCACTTTATGGATTAATCTTTGGACATTGTGGGCTACATTGGCCGCCCAGGATCAACATTTCTGAACAAAATTAAGTTGTTGCTTTTAAACCTTTAAACATCACAAAATATTTAGAATCCATTCCACGCGCATTTGCCCGAATGTAATCAAGGCTGTATAGTATTTACACACTTACCTTTAACAAAGGAGTTATTTCAGATAATGGTTTTGAATCAGGATGGGTCCTACCATCCGTTAGAAGAATTAGAACATTTGGGTACTCCGGCCGGTCTCCTCCCTCCTCGCTAAAGAGCTTCTTGTAGGCAGTGATCAATGCTTTGTCAATGAAGGTACGTTGGCCAAAAGTGATGGGCAGATTATCAATTAACTGATGGACAGCGTCGTTGCTGTAGAACTGCTTGTCTGCAAAAGTGCTTAGAACTTTTGCCTTCTGGTTAAACGTTATTATGGCCGTGTGTGTCGCATCTGGGCCGATGTGCATTGCGTCAATGAGTTGAAGAAGAAAACCCTTAAGTAACAAGAAGTTTGACACACCCAGACTCTTGGTCTTGTCCACCAAAAATGCCACGTCCATTCCCTTAGATTTTTCACAAGGATCTGGGGCTACAAGAATAAATAGTCAAAGTACGCAACTCAGTTCAAATCGAATCCAACCAACACTGAACTTGTGTCAAACTACTAGATGGCTGTGGCCACAGGGAGCCTTCTGATCGGCCATTTCCGAGATACATTATAGAACAGTTAAACTCTGGAATTCACTGGACTATACTCTTAAGTTAAAATCGACGCTAACGGACTTCAAACGTTGCCTGCAGAAGAGGAGTTTAATTTCAAACTTTTTAGAGACTTTAAAATTGTTTTTTCTTTTGTTATTTCTATCATATTAGTTCGATTTGCATATAAATAATTGGTAAATGTGTTAATTAGTTACTTAATAATTAATTAATTAATTGAGTTGTACATAGAGTTTTTAATTAATTTAATTTTTAATAGTTCTATCTTATTCCGAAAAGCCCTTTTGGGACGAGTAAAGTGTGTATGTATCATGTATGTATGTATTATGCCGCTGTTTCAAACGAGGCCTCGCGCTAAATCTCTCATATCAAAATGAGTTGCGAGTTCGTAATACACCCGTAGATGGTGAAAATACAAGTGATTATATGAAAGATCATATATTTGAACTGCGGAGAAAGATATGAAGACATGATTGATCATCGCAGTTATATACAAAGCTTAAGCAGTAGTAAAATTAAAGCCTGAAAAAATCTTCACCATCGTGACCAGCCCCCAGATGGTTTGATAGCTCAGTTGTTAGAGCACTGCACCGGTATCACAGAGGTCATGGGTGCGAATACCGTTCAAGCCTGAATTTTTTTCAGGCTTTAATTTCACAACCGCTTAATCTGTGTAAATGACTGTGATGATCAATAATGTCTTCCGCAAAACTAGACATTATTAGTAAGATTATACTTACGACAGGTTAGCGTTGTGATATCTTGAATAACGTCACCAACACTAGCATAGTCGTTCACAAAAAGCAAGTTTTTCCCTCCAATAAAGTCTAGTACTTCGCGATTCTTTGGCCTCCGCGCCTCTGGACCGATGGCAACGACGATAATGTGGACAGCTTTCGCCTGAAATTAAGTTAAAATCAAAATCTTACGGCTGCTAGAAATCTCTTTTTCACAATCACTTCCTTCACAGACCATGCAAACATACGTCCGGAACAGTGCCCAAAACGTTACACCTGATAAGATTGCCCAGTCCCCCGTCCAAGGTTAAGGACGCCAGGGAATGGGAAAGGGAAAAGCCGAGAGGAAAGGCTGAGGATGGGGACTGGATGGAGGAGACGTTTTCATCTGAGAAAGGAAATCTCGCTCGCTCACACTAATCTTTGATCATGAAGATTAATTAATGCTTGGTTTTATTGTTGTCATTATATGGACACTTTTTTGGTTTTTAATCGTTCTCTTTAAGAACACATAATTTTTCAGGATGCTACGGCTGAAATAGGGCTATAATTAGCTCTAATCGTAACAGTTGTCTCGCCTCACGGCCTTGTCTTTAGCGCTGAATGTGCACAGGAGGTCCCTCCTGGATGTACAAGCTATCTTCATTACAAAAAATATATATATCTAACTCAAACGGCCGCGAAAAAACCAAACTTGTAAAACTGATTCCGAACAGTGAACATAACATAGTTGAGCTCAATTCGGACTGCATTGATTTATGATTAAATTAATATAACTGCTAAGTAGTGAACTCGCCTTTAGTGCTACAATGTCAAGGAAAAAGTCCTCTGTGTCAGGGTGTGATTTTCCGTCGGTGAACAAAACCATGGCACTTCGGACTCCAGCCCTTTGTCCACTTCCCTCCGTGAACATGACATTCTTGGCAGTCCCAAGTGCTTTGTCAAGGCGGGTAGGCATGTTCAGTTGTTCTAAACGGTTGTTTATCAAATCATCTACAGCTTTGTTGCTGTAGTAACGGCTATCATTGAACGTGTTGTGAAGCGTGCTTGTCCTGTCGAACGTTTCAAGTGATACGTGAGTTCCCTCAGGTGAGATATCAAATTGGCTCACCAGACTCGCCAGCGCTTTCCTCAATTTTGGAAGGTTTGTGTACTTGATACTCCTTGTCGTGTCAATCAACAGACCAAGATCAAGTTTGCATTTGGAAATTTCTGAAAGAAAGAAACGGAAACAAGGACAGCGTGTCACTAAACAGTTTCTGTAAAATTATTAGTAAGTGGGTTTGTTGTTTTTTGCTCGCTTGTCTAGACAATGTACATCGAAGAAGGATAGGTTTTGAAAAACATTTAGCTGTAAAAAAAAGTGCGATAAAATATTTCTCAAAAACATTGTGAAAAGCTAAAAAGCTCAAAAGCTAGACGAAGTTTCGACGTTTTCACAACATCATTATCAAGTTAAAAAGTTAAGAATTAAATTACAAATCTTAAAATACTAATAAGAACAATAGACGGCTTAACTTCTCTAGGCTTAAGGTCTTGTTCCAATTTCCTGCTCACAAAATTAACACAGGTTGTAATGTGGGACCAACCTTATGAATAAGGCCGCGAAATTGCCTGCGAACTGCATTGGCAGATACTTGATCCTTAAAAGGAAGACTTATTCCGATCTTACAACTGCTTTCCGGTTTTCTCTTCTACTACCTGTTCTGATACATTACGAAGAAAACTACTAATGATGGAATCTATGGAAACACTGCGATAGTCTAAGCGACTGAAAATAGAGCGCAATTTGTCGCATTCTAAATTGAAAGCTTCTGGTGTGGAAGATAACGGACAAGCGCGGTGTAACATTTTCTTTAATTTTGAGTCTTTGTAACGTTTTATCAGTGTGACTGTGGAATGTATAGCGAACCTCCACTAACGACCACCATTTTGTCTCGGCGAGCGGTCCATGCATTCACTTTTATTTTACCCTCTCTACGACGGCCTTCTCCCCGCAACGTAACGGCAACTACCAGGAGAACGCGTGCCAACTGCCAAAATGATCTCTCCACAACGGCCAGTTAGTAAACGACTGACGAACGATGTTAACTTACAAAAGCCCGATTTTTATTGTAATAGGTCACCAAACGCGATCCATACCACGCGCGTTGGTCTCTGTTTCTGTTTGATACAGTTTGATCGTGTTATGTATTCGTGTTACGTACTAAAATGAACATTAAAAAAAAAAATGTTGCACCCCCGGAATAAAGGGAAAGCAGGTTTCATATTACACCACTACCTCCCCATAAAGGCCACTTCTTTCTGTTCCTATGGTGGCCCGGTTGTGGAGATGTTCGACTGTAGCGACTCTCGTGGAAACATGGGATGAACTACCTGAGAGGTCGTCAGTCGCACTTAGCCTTATCCGGTAAATGGTCACAATGAACGACTTGACCACAAGCTCCAGACTGTCATGCAGAGCTCGTGTTAGTCCCCCCGGATGGAAGGCTATTCCATCGCAGAATTGCTATCAACTTTAAATTTGCCGGTAACGATGTAAACAGATCGGTGGGAGTAAAAACTGTTAGTATAATGAGGGTGGTAAAGGTGGGGTACCAATCACGCATCACACTGAATTTTTCTATTTAAATCACGCATCACGGAGAATTTTCTTCAGCAATCATGCGCCACGTAAAAAGAAGTAAGTACACCGCCAATTTCACTTTCTTGACCCCAAAGCAGCGTTAAAAGAAGAACTCTGCCGATTCAACCAGAAAAATGCATTGACAAATATGTGACCTCTCACGCGAAAACGTTCCTTACAGTATCCGTTCGAACGGCTGAACGCAGGGCAAGTGAACTGATAATTTGAATAACGATAGTCAATTTACTTGTTCCAAGATATCTTAAGACCACTTGGTTCTACATGAGTTGGGAACCACCGAATATAATGAGCAATGACTCTAGAAACGATTTAATGAAATGCGAACTGTGAAGGTAAATGTAGGTATATACATGTGGACTCTAGAAACGATTTAATGAAATGCGAACTGTGAGGATAAATGAGGGATTCCTGAGATGTGGGCTGTGTAGGTATATGTTGGGAATTAATATGATGAACGCTGTGTAGGTATATGTGGGGGATAAATGAGACGTAGGCTTTGTAAGTATATGTGGGGGATTAATGAGATGTGGGCTGTGTAGGTATATGTAGGGGATTAATGACATGTATTGCTGCGTAGGTATATGTGGGGGATTAATGAGATGTGGGCTGTGTAGGTATATGTTGGGAATTAATACGATGAAAGCTGTGTAGTTATATGTGGGGGATTAATGAGGTGTATGCTGTGTAGGTATATGTGGGGGATTGATGAGATGTAGGCTTTGTAGGTATATGTGGGGGATTAATGAGATGTAGGATGTGTAGGTATATGTAGGGGACTAATGAGATGTAGGATATGTAGGTATATGTGGGGAATTGATGAGATGTAGGCTTTGTAGGTATATGTGGGGGATTAATGAGATGTAGGCTGTGTAGGTATGCATTGGAGATTAATGATATGTAGGATATGTAGGTATATGTAGGGGATTAATGAGATGTAGGATGTGTAGGTATATGTAGGGGACTAATGAGATGTAGGCTGTGTGGGTATATGTAGAGGAATAATGAAATGCAGGCTCTGAGGGGATGTAAGGGGGATATTTAAGGGGTTGGCTGAGGAAAAATACTTCATTATATATCCAGGAGATATTGTTTTAAGAGAGATTAAGAGAGATGTTTATATTGCGGTGAAGTTAACTGACCGCCCAACCATCCGGGTGGTGTCGCACTTATAAAGCGAAAGAACAAAAGGCTTGGTTGTGAACGAATGAGGAAGCACTGAGTCATAGCCAAACCGGACAAACGAGTTTCTGACACTGGCTGGATTTGATTATTCAAAATGGCGGCCATACCTTAATTTAAGGCTATATGCTAATTTGCCAAAGATTCTTTGTATGCACGCTTATGTTCTGCAACGGCTTCGTAATTTATGCTATACATACAGTTATATATTAAAATACGCGTTCACCTTGAGTATCTTGAATTACAGTAGCCAGATTAAGCCTTGATTGATGACGTTCGTTTAAGGTTCTCTCTGTCATCTACTATTACACGTTGCAGCGAAAGGGTAGTTCAAATTCATCGACAACGTCTACCGTCTACGAATGCCCACGAGCGAAAACAACTTCCGGTGCCTCGCCGCCTAAGGCATCGCAGTTTTCAATGTTATTCCACCAGATATCATTGTCTCCGCAACATTTAGATTTGAGGTCAATTAAGTGGCGAGATCCTCGAGAACTGGAACTATGGAAAGAGAAATACTGTAATAATTGCTTAGTTTGGAGCGGGAAAGCCAAGAGTATCAACTCGCCATGTTCAAGGACGTTATTGATGACGATGGCCTTTCAGTGTTCAAAGCCTTGAGCTATACATAAGACGAAGATGTAAACGATTACCGTGTAGTAATGGGGAAGATGAAAACGTATTGCATCGGCGAAGTAACGTAAACGAGATTGTTTCAGTAGGAGGGAAAAACTTCCTACCGAAACGCTCGACAACTTAATCGCTGAATTAAAAAGAACCTTGGCGAAGAGCTGCAATTTATGTTTACGGTTTTTACACGATACTCTCATCTAGGTCTGCGTTCGATTGGTCTTGGGATAAAACATAAACAAAGCGCAAAGCAGCCACTTAGGATGACAGACCCCATGTTAAAAAAGTGTATCGACCTTCCAGCATCCGAGATGCAAATATAGGGATCTTAACAATGACGGCGACGCCGAGGACAACGCCTTGTAAAATTGAATTTGTCCAGGATGCCTATGGCTCTAAAACCTCGCTCAGGCTAAATATGTAACGACGGCTTTCAATTCTAAATGGAAATACGAAAAATTAGCAGTTCGACTCATCGTTCGCGGTCATTTTGCGTTGTTGTTTTGCAGAGGACGGCTATGAACTGTACAAAGGTTCACTGAACACACTCGTACAGCCATTGTTTTGCTCATTAAACCTTTTGTTTGGTTTGACGTCGTGATTTGCTCCAGGCTCTGTCCACACTACGCCGGAGGAATTTAAAAACGCATACAGCTTTATTTCTACGGTTAGGCCTACGGTCCAGAGTAACCCGTCACGAAAACGGAG